TATATATATATATATATATATATATTACCTTCCAGGCCATATACTACAGGAAAACAAAAAACAGCATTAGCCACCACACCTACTGTTCCTATTTGCACAGTCTATCAGTGTGGGAGCTTATACGGATGATAGAAATCCTAGTTTGGTCCACACACCTCTCCTGTATTCTGCCTTATGCTAATTTCACCCTCTATGTCTTTTATTTGAGAAATGGTAGAACCCTTGCTACCCAGTCCCAAGTTACTGGGAAGGTCAATATCAAGAGTTTTCCCTTCAAGTCAGTGTAATTTCACTGATATGAGACAGAGTGGGCACATTCCTCAATGGGAAGTAGGGCTGGGGTATTTACTTGGAAGTGTGGTATAGGCCACCCATACACTAAGACCCAGAACATTTCTGGTGGTTCTGCTAACCAGATGGGTCTTGCATTCTCCTTTAGGATACAAGTCTGAGGTGATTCCTTCCTGAATCTGCTTATTCTGGTAAGTATGTCTCCAGTACAAGTATATCTGCCTGACTTATTGCTTTAGCCATACGACAAACCCGTGCTAAGCTGACCATCTATGATACAATGGCCCAGTTGAGCAACCTTCCATTCTGTTCACTTATGCAATATTTTAGCATCACACAGAAGTTTGTTTTTGACATTGTCTTTTGCTATATCACCTTTATTTGGCAAAAAAAACATTCCATGCATGAGAAGGGTTTGGTGTTATGCTACATGTTTTTGTTTTTTTCTCTTTTTGATGCTATAATTTCAAAAAGAAGCTCATCCTTTTAATTTCTTCATCTACACTGGCCTCTCCATCACTTCATCAGTGTGGGGTTCTAGCTGTTTATTCTGTGAAGAGGTGAGTAGCAAATTCGAAGTTAACATTTTCTTTTCCAAAAAATAGATACCTCTCCACAGGACCTTGCCTTGTTAAGAATGAGCCTTTGTTGAAATACTAGTACTCATGATGTTTTCTGTGCATAGAGGATGTGTTGCTGCCCTCCTTAAGGAAGAGTTGTAGTTTAATGATGGTTAAATCATTGGATGGCACATTGCATATTAATACAGAATGATAAAACCCTATCACTCAAGCACTTTTGAAAGGTGGGCCTTTCTTCTTCACGGGTAAACTGGGAAAGAAGAAAGGTCCACCTTTCGAAAGTGCTTGGGTTATAGAGTTTTTATCATTTTATATTAAGACTTCTTGATCCTACATGTTTTTTTGACATCATGAAAATATTAATACACGTAGAAGTGGGAATTTTGTTCAAGGCTTGTGGCTTACACAAAGTGATACCTGTTTGTTCTATGTTCAAGTAAGGAAAGTCAGCTTGTGGAATATTGTTTCTTATAATTCTACTTTTCGTGGTCTTTGGCAGAGGAATGCAAAGCTAACTAATGACATAATAATAAATTGACTACTTTTCTTTCAAGCTATCTTATAAAGATTTTGTTACATATGATTATAAATAAAAATAAAAATGAAGAAATAATAAAATAAGGCCATTACGCCATAGATATATAGCATACAGTGATGCTTTCTTTTGGTATGTAAATAAGAAAATTTCTTTCACGAGTATGTGATAAATTTGACACAAAATTGTTTAATTAGATCTTAGCTGCGTTATCTTTACGCATGTCTTTACATTTTCTATTTTCAGGAAAAACGATATAAATTTTCTCCAAAAAGATACCGCAAGTGAGTTACCTGCTACTTTCACATGTAAATAAGTATTGTCTTGTTTACTTGATGAATTCATAAAAAATGGAACCAAAAGAAAATACTCTTCATCTTGGTCAGAAAAACAACTAATAGAGTTTTGGACAGAAAAAGTTCACAGATTTGGTTGCATATCACTTCAGAACCTTACTGGTCATGCATCTCAGCTTTCTGCAGAAGCTCGAAATGCTTTTGGTACTTCTAAAACAGCTCTGAAAAAGTTTTTATCTCAACATCCAGATGTTTTTTACATTGATAACAAAAATAATGTCTGGCCCGCTCTAAGTAAACGTGAAAAAACCTTTCCTGTGTCTGTAAGTGATCATAAAGAAGAAATAAATACTGAAAATGTAGATGAAAACCAATGGCAAGACATTTCTGAATCACTTGATAACATTTGTGAATCAGTTGGTAAAATTTATCGACTATTCCCAGTTTATGGTTTTATCACTATTACACAGCCTGTAAAAACTACTGTATATTTTGATGTTGGGACCTTTGAAGATGGAACCAAGTCAAAGCTTTATGAGTACAATATTAAACCTGAAGATGTTGTTTATTTGAATGCCAAAAGAGGCCCAGAAGGCTGTGAAGCTCATTTTCGTGCAACAAAAGTTTGGAGACCAGGTTACAATCTAAATATAGAAGATAAGAATGTTTCTGACTTAGAGAATAGAATCTTAAATGGTCATGGAGTAATCCAGAACATTTTTAATCGGTATGGATTTATTCAGCAAGACAACCAACTACACAGAACTGTTTTCTTCCACATTAGAGACATTGAAAATCCAACAGGAGAACATTTTGATAAATTAGAAGATGTACTGAAGAAGGGAGAAAAAGTCGGGTTTCATGCTGTTCCTTCATCTTTGAAAAACTCTATAGCAAAGTGGCAAGCAACTAGTGTGTTTATTAAACATTTTGAAAATAAGTCTATGTTCACCATTGAGGATGACCAAACTATTTTAAACTCGCATTGTTCTTCAAGTTCGGATAAGAGTGATAGTAGCTTTTCTAATTATGAAACTTTACATGAACCAAAAAAAACATAAATCCGAAAAACACATTTCACCAAACTGTAAACAGTATCAGGAAAATAAATGTGAAAAATGGTTTACCATTGCAACATGATAGTAAAGGCTACACAACCCAACCAGCCATGTCAAATACTTCAGCTCATTTTTTGTCTTCTAAAACCAATTCCTTTAAACAGGGGTTGATTGGGAAATCAAACCAGTGGCTTAACCCTCAGTCTCTGAACGGTGGCTTCAGGCAAGTAAAACATAACGAAATGTTAGATGTGCCTTTGAGAAACGAACAGAATGTTGGAAGATCTATTTCTGCAGAAGAGAATGGTTTGAGTAATTTAAGGTACTTGGAAGAAACACCAACAAGTGTCACCTCTGCATTTGTTTCTGAAAATAATGAAATCCGTCCATTAATGTTTGGTGCCAGAAAATCCACAACTTCAACTTCTCCTATAGAGAGTCTTTCTTCTGTGCATCAGACTGGATCACTGGTTGACTTGAAAGAAACCTGTGGTTATTCTTTAGGTTCACCTTCCTCTGTAGATTCTGGCTTAATCAAGTTAAAGGTGCGTTTTTGTTAAACCTAAATTTTTATATATATGAGCCTCCCATTCATAAAAATTAATATTTCCTCATCAAACCGAACCAGAATTATTTAAAGTTTTCTAGTTGATTTAATGTTTCAGTGAAAATTTATGAGAATTCTACTCTAACCCTGCACTCCATATGTCATTAGTGTTGCAAAAAGTAACATAAACTCTCGTAGAGAGTTTTAAACTTATTGAGTGTACCTTTTTTCATAGGACTACGTGATATATGAAAGCAAATAATAACATTCTCGTAACATCATAACAGGTTTATTGTCTCATTAAGAAAGTATTTGTAATAAGCAGAACTGCTGAAAGGAATTTAGTGTTTAGTAGCTGATATTATACATCATCACATATAATCAGTTTAAATTTTCAGGCATAACAGACTCATGAGTGTAAATGTTTCTTTGCAAGAAAAACATTTTAGTTAAATGTTTTTTAATTACTCAACATCAGACAGTTTTTATTTAGCTACACTTTATTACAAGATAGAAGAGCTGTTAAAATGTACAGTTTTGCTTTGTTAGTTTTATTGATGAGAAGAATAATGCAAGTTAAAAATATATTTTCACAAAGTGTATTCATATCTTTGAATGGACAGGATAAGTATATCAAATCAGAGGTGAAACTCTGCCCGTACTCATCAGTTCTGAGTAATGGAACTTATATATCAAGGTGGTACTGGTACTGGGACTCTTTTGAATTGCCTTGTCATTTTTAGGTTTATGCATAGATTTTTTTTTCTTTTTTAAAAACAAGTCCACTTCACCCAGCTGAGTACCTCTACTTTTTTTTTGAGAATTTTACCCATGTATCAAATATTTGATTAATGATTAGATGAGTTCTTTGTAAGTAATCACAGAAAATGATTTTTGAGTGGTGAATACTATTTCTTGAGACAGATCTTCCAGTATTAAGTAACCACATCTTACACATTTGCCAGCTTTGATTCTAATTAAAAGTTTTGTTTTACCTCCTCTGCTCCTTTTGTAAAATGTGATGTTGTCTGACTTTCTTCTTCATGTTTTAATGATCCCTCGATTTTGTTTGATGCCATTTATTGGAGCATTATATATTTCATGTTTGTTGCGAGTTTTTATTTTGACTTTTTGTGCATCAATTTTGAGAACTTTTAGAATCTGTTTTTGATATTCCTCAACCAAGAATTTTATGCCATCAGCTGTACATTCTGCAATAATTCATTACTTCAGGTTATATGTGTGCTTTTAATGTGTCTGTATGTTGGCACTTTAACAGCTAATCTTTCCCAATCAATTAAAAGCCCTCCATCCTGTATGTGAATCTTTGTCTTCTATCTTTCTGTTTCTCTATTGGATAGCACCTATCTACTGTGCTTATGTATATGTAGTAGTAGATCTGAGTTGATTTTTCTTCTGTATTGATTATGTATAGAGTTGTCTACATCCTTTTAGTTCTTCCAGGAAGAAAACAGAAGTTAGTCTTTGTCTTTCATGGCACAATTCCTCTAGTTCCTCTTGGAACAAGTTTGATATCTATCCAAAAACTAAACGATCCTGAGGAAACACAATTTCGTGGTTTTCTGATACGTTGACAGATTCGTGTAGTTCCCCTTGCGGCAAGTGTCTTCTTTACCCTTTGTCATTTGGTTGGCTTATGGTATGTGCTATATATGTGTCTCTAGTTGGATCACATGTAAACCATCTTATTTGATGATCATCTTCAGTTTCTACCATTTCATCTGGAATGTGTCTTTGTTTCAGTTATCTTTATGTGACTGTTTTACTCATCCATACTTTTTTACTGACAGTTTCTACTATTTCATCTGGAATGTGTCTTTGTTTCAGTTATCTTTATGTAACTGTTTTACTCATCCATACTTTATTTCCTGACAATTTCTACCATTTCATCTGGAATGTGTCTTTGTTTCAGTTATCTTTATGTGACTGTTTTACTCATCCATACTTTTTTTACTGACAGTTTCTACTATTTCATCTGGAATGTGTCTTTGTTTCAGTTATCTTTATGTGACTGTTTTACTCATCCATACTTTTTTTACTGACAGTTTCTACTATTTCATCTGGAATGTGTCTTTGTTTCAGTTATCTTTATGTGACTGTTTTACTC